TGACCATCGATGTCTTCGGAGCATTGCCCGAATCTGGTGGGAACACCGGATCAGCAATGCTGAAGTACGTCGAATGGTATTCGGGAGAAATAACTCACCCTCGATAGATGAACTGATCACACTGCATAGGTTGCGCTGGCTTGGCCACGTGATGCGTATGCCAGCCGACCGACTTCTTCAAAGGGCTCTTTTCGCACAACCACGTGAAGGGTGGAAGAGAGCCAGAGGCGGTCAAACAATGACTTGGCAACGAAGTATGAAAGCCATTACCAGCAAACTCAGCTGCGCTGGTCACTACCGTCTTCCTGGATGGGGACCCCGTGATGGGCCACATCAATGGCTAGAGACATTATCGGACATGGCCCAGTTGCGCCCTTAATGGCACTCATGCATCAAAGCTATTGCCTTCAATGCATTGCTCCCTTCCCAGTCCCCCCGGGCAACAGTCCACCTACAGTCCAGTATTTACGCACGAATTTATCAGCTCCCGCCTCCAATGCGCAGCTACCTACCCCCTTATATCATCGGTGAAGGAAAAAATGGCAGCTACAACCACTGTACAACGAGCACGCGGTTCTTACAGCTGACAGTGGTGATGATGTAACTAAACTGGCCTGGGATTAATGGATAGGAGGGGACAGAAAATAAGTTATCTATAATCTAGCAGGTACGTAGAACGGTGTACTTATTTTAAATTGAACAAATTTCCGAGTTTTAATCGATGGGCTGTCCGGTCGACTCACTTGTACACGCCTGGAACCGAGCAAGACTAGCTGCGTTGAAGTAGATCAGTGCACTGAAACAAGGCTTTTTTGGTAGGAACTAAGAATCAACTTAAACGACTACACAGTGTTAAGGGCAGGGTGAGAGATCAGAGGTAAGTGTGTGATCCAGTAGTAAAATGAACAGACTTATTCATTCTTTGGAAGCACCTGACATTTGAGTTCCAAGATCCATTTCTTCTAGTGTCTCCTCCAGATACTGCTTTATGTCAACATCCAGCCTATCCAGTGCAAAGCTTCTTTTTCGTCCAGTCGTCGTGTCCATGTTAACCACAATCGAAGGTCTTGAATCCACCTCATTCCAACTGTCAGAGTCCGAAGACTTATCCGAATCGTGTATTTCATGAGAGTCGACCCAGCTAACTTCATGTTCGGATACACGGCGCTTGGGGGTATTGACACTTACCCGAGGACTCCATTCCAAACTGACTCGTCTCATTTCCACAGATTTTTCTGAAGCCACACCCCCCAGAGATCTGTCATGTTCCGGAGAGAGGACAGCAGTCGAACCGATAATCAATCGGCTTGACTTGTGTTTTGCTATTTTCTGAAAACTTGTGCTGCTTTGGTTGGAATCGGCACTCACCGACCTTGTCTCATTGGACAGTGGAATGGAAGGCTTGAAAGCAGAACTAGACAAGCTCTCCAACTTATTTTCGGGTTCATCGTTCCTGGGTGCATTTGTAAGCTTATTCGTGATGATCATCGGTTGCGTTAATTCGCATTCCATCACATTTTCCAGTAGACTGTTCTCAACATTTAAAGGTAAACATGGGATTGATTTAGCGGAAACGTTTCCCAACACCGCCTGGTGACTAGGGTTAGATGGTTCATTGAGTCCCGTTCCAGCTTCTTCATTGGTTGGTACTTTCAAACGCCTCTTCACGACCGTGGTACAGTGAACCTTAACATTTGTCCCGTTTGCCAGAACCGTCGCGTAGAAGCTTTCATTATGGAACACCGGTTTATCAGATATGGAAAGAGCCTTATTTGAAGTTACGCGCCTTTTCTCCGAATGTCTTTGTTCCGTGTTCATGAAAATGATCGTTCACTGGACTTCATGTAACAAAAAAAACAAAGGTTAATCCGTAAATTCCCTGATCAACACATCTGTCTGTGTCTGACCTTGAAGGATTGATCCGTTCAAGTGGTTGATCGATGAACGGTAGGGTCACGGTATAGCAATGATGATTCACGTGCTTGTGAATGTCAGTGGCCAAAGAGGAAGTAGTCAGCTGTTCAGGCACATATTCTGTTAGAAGTAATATCCCTTGTCAGTTCAACGGCATCTCCGCCAAAAAGTGCACGACAAGGAAGAGTATAACTAGTCTCGATGTGCTTGTACGGTAGTGGGGACAGAGCCGTTTTCAACCCATTTGACTAGCGAAGGGTTCATATAAGCTGCACTATGGACATCGGCTGCATCCAACTCCATTCAGGTTCTCCCTTAATAACTAACTAACTAACTAACTAACTAATTAACTAACTAACTAACTAACTAACTAATTAACTAACTAACTAACTAACTAACTAATTAACTAACTAACTAACTAACTAACTAATTAACTAACTAACTAACTAACTAACTAATTAACTAACTAACTAACTAACTAACTAATTAACTAACTAACTAACTAACTAACTAATTAACTAACTAACTAACTAACTAACTAATTAACTAACTAACTAACTAACTAACTAATTAACTAACTAACTAACTAACTAACTAATTAACTAACTAACTAACTAACTAACTAATTAACTAACTAACTAACTAACTAACTAATTAACTAACTAACTAACTAACTAACTAATTAACTAACTAACTAACTAACTAACTAATTAACTAACTAACTAACTAACTAACTAATTAACTAACTAACTAACTAACTAACTAATTAACTAACTAACTAACTAACTAACTAACTAGCTAACTAACTAACTAACTAACTTACTGACTAACTAACTAAGTGACCCATTGACTGACTGACTGACTGATTGACTTAGTGAATGAATGAATGAAGGAATGAGAGGGTGAATGAATGAATGAATGAATGAATGAATGAATGAATGAATGAATGAATGAATGAATGAATGAATGAATGAATGAATGAATGAATGAATGAATGAATGAATGAATGAATGAATGAATGAATGAATGAATGAATGAATGAATGAATGAATGAATGAATGAATGACCAGTTACCTTCTATGAGCCACCTAAACTACGCTAGTAATTTTATGGATCGTCCGGTTATCCTGTCTGCCTGTCTCTCAGTATGCTTCCTTTGTCACTCAACTGCTCAAAATCTGGGAAAGCAACTTTAAATTTGTGATAATGCTAGCTAGAGCATCAAGGTCCTTAAGTGGATGAAACTTGCTGGTTTTTAACCGTACACACTATTAGGATAATCTGTTTGGCGGTGGTTTTAACCGTCCCATATGGTGCAATTATTGTAGTAGATCCGGATCAAAAAGGACAAACAATGGACCCGAGTTTCGTCCTTATTAAGGTATAACTTTAGTGCATATCCTTGGTTGTCTCAGAAGTTGAACTCCGGATATTTGGTACACGGGATGAGCGTCGGTAGGAGCGAAAATCGAGTCCAGTGTTTTTTCCCTTTGTTGTGGTCGAATAATTCCTCCACGATCCTATGGGGATTGTTCGGGCAAGAGTGATGTGAACATGAATTCCACAGACACAGGAGCCGTCTTAAGCTATTCATCAGCACACTCAAAGTCCATGTACACCAGCGTTGTCTCATCGCTGTTTCGTGGAGTCAGAGCGCTGTGCACAGAAGAGATCGACCGAACGGCAGCTCAAATCGAGATTGCCAACAAACGTGAGGAAATAGGATACCCAGTGAGTTTGATTAAGCGTCAACTAAGAAAGATATTGGCTCCAGTATCTAGACCCAGTAAGGAATGGACTGGCACAGCAGTCATTCCATATAAAGCAGGGGCATCGGAGGTTATTCGAAGACTGTTGAACTTAGCCAACATTCAAGTAGCTTTCCAGAAGGCGAAAACACAACGCTCAGTTTTGGTGCCATTGAAAGATCCTTGCTGGTTGAAAGGACTAGGGATTTTGTGTACAAATTTAACTGCAACGTTTGCGCTAAGGTTTACATAGGATAAACTGTCAGGGAGTTGCACACCAGAATTGATGAGCATAAAAGAAGGATTAACAAACCACCAAGGAATGCAGAAGAATACCAAACGCTGGTCAAAGACTCAGCGATAGCGGTATATGCCCTAGACACGTGACATGGAATAGATTTGGAGAATATGGAAGTTTTAAGACGGGAACTGAGATATACACCACAACGGCTGATAGCCGAGACGGTGGAATCGACGGTGTGGAACTGGCGAGCGTACGGAAAGCGGTCTTAGATAAGCCGAGTTGACACGTGACTGTTTGGTTGTCAATCCACGTAGGATCATTAGAGAAACCAGGGGGGACTGGGGGTGGAAATTCCAACCCGGTTACAGGTCACAGCATCTCACTTACACAACTATCTTAGCCCTAGCTCATCCACGCAGACGGACAGAAGTTTCAAACGACATTCAAGAGGGACCGTCAGATGAACCGAACCAGAAGAACTAGACCCTAGGCTGGACCCAAACACATGTAGGTTTCCACACCGACCCAACACTTGTTTGACCACTCTTACACACAAAAATCTCTCGGCCGACACACAACAGAGATTTAGCTTGACTTAGCTGATTGGTTCTCCTTCCGCCTTAAATCTTGACCAACCTCGGAACCTGGTCACTTGGCCTGATTAAGCTCTTGTGTCAAAAGCAAAACGTTGCTCAGCAATAGATCTACCGATTATCACCAAACTTTTTCGAATACAATGTTTTTTGTTTACGTGGGATGAATAGAGGTTACACATACGAACAAACTCCTTTGTTTGCCACCAAACTCGCAGCCACTCTTGGAGGTCATCCTCATTGAGGGCAAGCCCAATCCCGCAAAGATCAGAGAACATACCTCCCTCATTAATGGTGGAAGACAGTTGGTTCACTACTGAATTGAAAGAAGGGGAAATGACAACTGACATTCCTGAGACTTGGACATGTACGATCATGACAAGTTTCAAGTTCTTTACGAATATCTGATCGGTACACAGGGAAGTCAATGGATGGGAATCGCAACAGCTGTCTAAGGACGTCCCACTGCAGCAATCCGATGCAACTAGGATATCATAGTGGCACTCCGGGGGGTGGGGGGTACTGGGGAGGCGTGGCAAAGATGTCTTCAGACGGTTAGTAAGCTGTGTGCATAAGTTATCGCCATATAATGACGAACTACAGAAAAATCAAGTCAAGGCATGATAAAACACCTCAACCGATGCTTACGGACGATGACATAAACTGATTTTTTGGCGAAAAAGCAATATCAAAAAAGAGAGATTCAGCTGGGTTCCAGGTGAGTCTGCGGTCGAAATTATTGCAACTTTTTTCAGCGGTCCGACTGGTCCTTTCGATTCCGCGTGAACTTCGTGCACAGTAAGGCAGCTCGGAACTGAGTGCAGTGGTGACACAAGTGAGTGAGTTCATTGATACATATATATGGTCGTCAAAGGCTTTCACGCTTGCGCAAAATGAGGTTTGATTAAACTTTGTGTCATGCTGGCTGTTCTCTACAGAAGCAATTCAATAGCTCAACCCAAAGAATTCGTTCTATCACTTTTAGATTCTAAAATAGTTGTCTTTAGAAGTCTACCATCGTACAGAAGTAAGCGTTATTTAAATGAAGGAAACTACTCACAAGGTTGCTGAAAACGCTTCGACAGCCCACGACCGGTTTCGCTTTTCTTGGGGCTCATCAGGTAGGCGCAGTCCCCGAGTTTCCGTCAACCTTATGATCTACTTGAACCCAAATTGCACGGTTTTCGTGGCGGTTGAAACATGAGACGGCCTATGTGCAGCACTTTCAGTTGCAGAATATCATAAATGAGAAATTCAGTTGAGTCTCTCGTGAAAACCAAATTTATTTGCAAATGAGTGTAAACGTTATTTACTTCTCAGAAGTATTTTGCAGAAGGTTGATTGAAAGAAGGCATTTCGATTACTCTCTTCAGTATGTGTTGGAAAACTACTGTGGACGAAAAATCAGAACCTTCCAGGGAGGACTCCAGACATTCAGGTCGTTCCTTGCAGCCTTTTGTAATCAAACCTGTTAGACTTGCATATTCCACTTCAGTTCAGTTGACACGGTGAACGCAGTTCACCGACCCTTTATGGAATATTACTTATGAGGTTCACAACTAGTTCTGTCCACTTAGAGTTAATCAGTGAGGATCAGTCCCTAGTTGACCTGCCCCTCCAAGAAACCTCCAGATACCGGATGACTATGCAAGTATGTGCATTGGTTGGATAGATTCCAAGAGCCGAGTATCCTAGAGGCCTACCCTGATGGTTGACAAGGGATGAAATCTGCATATTCTCGCCTGGTTCAACTTTCTACTTATTACTCAGTCTAGCGGCCTTGGTTTCCTCTTTCATTTGTTATTGGTTCAACCCGTTCCCCCAAGGCTGGTGTCTATATCAGAGTTAACCAGCTTCTTCATAGTCTGGGATACTCTACCGATACACTGTGGTGGTTTCTGGCTGTGGACAAGCATGGGACAGACTATGTTCTTTTTACCACAAAAGCCCACTGAAGCATGAATGGCTGGAGGTGTAGGCACCTCGGAATGATTGTGGTAAGCTAGCACTAAGTCCCTTCCCCGCTCACCTTTACTCTTTTCTTTACAATAAGGCTTTCAAATAATTCATGGTTTTACCGCAGTGGAGCTTCGGTGTTGAACACTGATGTCATGCTGTCGATTATGATGATGACCCTAGCGTGGAGAAATGATGGGATCACTAGGGCTTCATGGTGCAAAGAACTACAGGAAGCTGGTTATTCAAACAAACTGGAATATGAGTTTTTCGTAACAGTGTGAATCATTAATGACGAGTTGATTTCAGCATTTTACTGTTCAGTTAAACAACCTACGTCTTTGGACCTCCCTCGTGCACGACGTCACGTGGCTACCATGTGAAGTAAGTTCTATTGATCGACGATACCGTTCAAACGGATCGCGTGATGTTAACTCAAGTTGGTTAGGGAGAATAAATGGTGGGAGCAAAAACCGTGTCCTAAAATGCAGATCTCACTGCCTGATAAATTAGAAAAAACCCATAGATTTCCAAGTAATTATCAGAGCAATTCCAACGGGCAGGCTGATAATGAAATTCGCCCACCTGCTCACCTGCTACCGCCACACCCCCCGTCGGAACCACCTTTCCCATTGCTTTATCCACAGACCACTAAGGAATACACCAAATTACCTCCGTTGTCTTTGAGTAAAGCAGACTACTTTGGTCGTACAACTTTCCCAAATCAGTCGACTGTAAAGCGCGTGCGAAAACGTATTTTGCAGGTTGATGCGCAAACGGAAACCGTGTGCGTTCCTCAGTTTCGTTGTTTAGTTTGTGGTCTAGATTGTCAACGAGGAGACATATTATATGCTCATTTATTGCTCTTGAGGCATGAATTCGATGCCTCCGAAAACCATTCGATTGGTGGTACATCATTATCATCATCATCTTCGTCATCCGATCGGTCCGGCCGACTTCACTGTCGACGATGTGGCAGACGTTGGGAGTCGGAAGTTGAATTTCTGTGTTCAAATCAGCACAGTTGTGTTCAGCAAAAAGCTGCCTATCTAAGTGGTTTTTTGGCGCCGAGTGACTCCATTCGTCAAGGCCTACCATTTGTATGCCTATTGTGCTGTACAGAACCACAAGAGAATGGCGCGAGACGATCCTATCCTATCCGGACACAGAATGGACTGATACCTAAACGACCGTTGAAACCGCACGAAGCTGCCATGCGATTTACCTCTAAGATCCACTTGGTTGTACACATTCTTTGCCGTCATGCCGTTCGGCGAAAAAGTGGAATGTGTGCCGAGTGTCCCCTCGTCAAACTAGAGTCACCTACAGACGAGGACGGTTCCGAAGAAAGTGCTTTCTGGTGTTTACGAAGTCATGAACGTAAGCCAAAGTTGCTCAGAATTCTCTCGGTTGATAGTGATAATTCGAGTTCCGATTCCGACGCAGAAACAGTATCGCCGGTGCACAGTGTGGACTATTCAATGTTGCGGAGAGAAGGTCTACAGTCCATCGAGAAGCACATCGATGAGTACCATCTGCCAATGTTTGAACTAATCACGTGGTACATGCAACATTCCTCATCACCACAATCCATGAATTCAAATATGCAGAGGACTGCCATGTACAGTTGCCCTATTTGTGACCTGAACAATTTGAGATTGCTACCGAAATCAAGCTCAACAAGCGGTGAAGACTATTCATCAACATTTGGTGAATGCGCCCCCATAAATAGTAATGCTTTGCTTCAGGCACACATAGTATGTTACCATGCAGGAGCAAAGGAACTAGACGCATTGCTTGAAGTGTGTCAAGTATGTGAGACGAGTGATTTAGCGCGAATGTTCCGAGGAACAAGACCTGAGTGTTCGACGGAACATGCCCAAGGAGCAAACAGACATCTCTCGCGGTCGGGTCATCTTTACCGATTACAGTGCCAGTTTGAACGGTGCGTTGGTCAAGGTCGATTGGATTCTGGGAGCCTGCATGTGAGTCTCGACTGGTCCACGGTTTGCCTATTTTGTTGGCGGAGATATGCGACGCATCTGGGCAGTCCGATGGCCAACCTGGTGGCACAAAGCCGATTACAGACACATTTACTTGTACAACATTGCGCGCAGCTTGGTGAAGGACGATCCCGCTGTTGTCAAGAGCTGGACACTTTCTGGTTGAAACCCTGTGGGTGGTGCGGTGCAACTGCGAGTTCCCGGGAAGAATCTGGTAAGTTATGCTACTGTGAGCATCAAAGTATATGTTATAGGGCTCGTAACTATTTGAAAAGTTACAGGCGTACAGGTTAACAGCCTCGTGCACTGGTGAAACATTCGTAACGTGAGCTTTGCTTTCAGAAGCTGAGAACTCACATTCTTGCACGACCGAGGATATGCAATTTCGGTGAGCTCCAATAGGTACGAAGCTCAAATACAGCACTTCTCCCCCTTGTTGTGAGCTCACCAGAATAATTACACTAGGATAGCAGAAAGACTGTTTGAACGAACGCACTAATTTATCAGCTCCCACCTCCAATGCGCAGCTATCTACCCTATCTCCCCAAGTCACACGTGAACGAAAATGGGGCAGCTACAACCACTGTACGACAAATACGCGGTTCCTTCGGCTGACAGTGATGATGAGGATGATGATGACGATGATGATACTGGTGATGGCGATGATGGAAATGATGATGATGATACTGGTGATGGTGGTGGTGATGGTGATGATGATGATGCTGATGATGATGATGATGATGATAATGATGATGACGATGATGATGATGATGATGATGATGATGACGATGATGATGATGGTGGTGATGATGATGACGATGATGAACGTGGCACCTGCATTCTCAGCAATATGGGACATGGTATAGCTTAATTGGATGCGTAGAAACCATGCCAGGGGTGCTGAATCAGGCTGAGTTGGAAGCTGCTAACATATGTCTTCCATGTGGGGCGGTCTCCCTTCGATTGTTGATGAAAACTTTGTCAGCTGCCAGCTCGTTGAGTGGACTCCATCTGCTGGCGCTCAATTCCAACGTTCGCAATTTTAACCTTACCCATAGAGGAAAATGCAGTTCACAGCAAACTGCCTTCTCCCTGATAGACCACCTCCAGGAAATGAGGGCGAGACGACCCCTCCCCAGTATGTTCACACGGATGAATGGGACAACACGGATTTCGATTTCCACTAAGGTCGTATCCTCTGGCATTCACGTGATAAAACATTGGAAAACTGCAATCATCATTGGACTTTGTTGTTTGTTGCTTGAGTTAACACATTCCTGCCATCTACAACACGGTAATTACTGCGTTGATAAAACTTCCAATAGAACTCAACAACAATTTCGTCTATCTTTGTGTTCATCAACTCAGTTTGTAGTAATACAGCAAATTGAATGTACGACCAGCCGAATACTCATGGCGTTGAAAGATCATAAGCTTAACAGAAACTCGGAGACTGCGCCTACCTGATGAACCCCAAGAAGGGCGAAATCGGTCGTGGGCTGTCGAAGAGTTTTCAGCCAACTTGTGAGTAGTTTCCTTTATGAAAGCAACCCAATTTGGTTTCGTCTGAGTCGCCGGTTATTGATTTCCTTCAGCGCGTTTGTGATTTGCAGTAACGGTGGATGTCTTGATATGACGAAAGAGCATTTCGGTGTAGAAGGAAATTACCTAAAACGTTTTGAACGGTGACACTGGGGAATGCATTCAGCTTATGGCAAGTTCCATCCTAACCCTTTTCGTACTCATCACGTTCTTCTTTGTTGAATGTAACTTTGATCATTTGTAGTAGATGAGAAAACGACGCCGGAGAATGAAACAGTCATGCAGCCTTCCGTCATTTTTCTCTCTAGCCACATCCACGTCAAATGGTCCTTCAGATAAGAAACCGCGGCAGATTCGGGATCCTCAATGGCAGCGATTACAGGAACAGTACACCTGGTTATTGGAACATGAGCGACAACATGCGAACATGCTAGCCGCATGGTGGTGGGCAAAAGAACAGAATTCGTCATCAACAATGCTCCATTAGACTTGTACGGTTTTCCGAATTTCGAGTCATCTCAGCTTTGTCCGTCTCCTGTACACCTGTGATCAATCCGTGTGATCATGCGAGTAAACCCGACTCCGTTTTATTCTGAAAAGACTCCAATTTGGATTTCAGGGTGGGGGTCGAGGAGGCCATGCAGAATCGGCCTAACCATCATTCATAGTCTTGAAGATTGTCTGTAGAATCATCAATCAGTGGTACGACAAAATCACTGATACTACTGCCGAGCAGTTAGGAAAACTCCATTGCAAGAGGCCTCTTGATCGAGACATTTACAAAAGGTGTAACGTTTTTCAACATATCCTGCCAGTCAGAAACTCACATGAACCACAAAAATAGGAATGTCGGTGTGGCAAATTTCTCAGAGTTACTGATAACTCACGCTGGGAACGACTGACAGGAGTAAAACCGAAGTGAGAAAGACTTAAGAAAAGCAAACTGGTTTGCACAGGAGAGCATTTCGCTAATTTTATGCAATTAAGGTCCACGTAGAGCAATTCGGGGACTGCGCCTACTTGATGAGCTTTTAGGTGGGCTTGATTGTCCCCAAGAATAGTTTTTTGCACACAAAGGCCAGGTTTATGCAACCGGATGGATAACGACTCAACACCGACGAGGAGTCGAGTTGGCGTAAACTTCGAGTGACTTACCTGGCGGCCGCCAACTACAAATCAACGCATGTGGATAAGCGTGGCAAAATGTGAAAGGAGCTATGCTAGCGGCGTTCAGTACTGTCTGCTCGACTTCTCCGATTCCACCACAGGACCCCTGGATGTCGTCGAGGTCGTTATCCATGATTGATGCCAGGAAAGCCATACCAGCAGGCAACGAGTACGACGGCGCACGCAAATCCCTCAAACGCCAAATAGTGAA